GAATATGGCGTTGGAGAAAAAAAAAGATGAATTTGATGAAGAGGAGGAAATATATACTATTGTCTCCAATGAGTCATAACAATTTATGAATGAATATTTCTTGGAATTGGCTTCGGCAAAAATTTTATTATTAAAAATGTTTCAAGGATATGAAACACGGTCTTGCAGGAAAGCAATGGGAAGAAAACCTTCTGCACGAGTTGTCATTAGAAACAACAAGGGATAGGAAGAATCACATTTATTCCTTTGTCTATTCATCTACGGTCTGTGTGTGTTAATTTGTTTTATAGACTACGTTGAGAATTATTTTGTAATGTTTTCGGATGTGTATGGGGCCTTGGTGCTTGATTATATCTCATGTATTGCTTTTATCCCTTTTGGCAAAAAAAAAGAAAGAAAGAGTAGATTTTGGGCATCTCTAACTCTTATTGATCAAATACTTAAAATCACAGAAAATGAAGGAGAGTCAAAGTTTTATTCTAAGCAACAAAAACTTAAATATTTATTCAAATCTTTAATTTTAAGATCTTAACGTCTTTTCAAGATTTAACTATCATATTTCACTCTCCTCTATGTATCTGTCTATTTTTTATTTGTCTCTATTGTTATTCAATTTCTTTTTGAACTCGTTGTTGAGCGCCAAAAATGTGAATGATGCTAAACTCAAATAATTCACCAACAGTATCATCTGTTAGATTTAATTGTAAATTCTAATAATCATGTATTATCTATTTGTTTATAGTGTTTAAATCAATTCCCATGTTAGAAATGCAATATGAGAATTATAATGACTGAGGGGGCAATGCAGTAGAAGAATAATTGAGGTGGTGAAAGTGTAATTTTCCCTTCGACTTCATAGCCATCTGCTGTTCTTGCATTACATGTATGGAACAAGCAGCGTATGTACACGAAGGATCCATTCCAGTACTATATGGTTGTCACTTATCTCTACATATACCTACACTGTGTGTTTGGGGTGAGGGGTGTGTGATAGAGAGAGAGAGAGAGTGCGTGTCGCCCTGGAACATCTAGCAAGCATGGAACCAAACTCCACAAGGCTAGGGTTCCCTTCAGTTGCCATCTGTTCAATTATCAGTAGCTAGCTAAGGAACAACTGCACTCGATTCTGCCACGATACATACGTCCCGATGAGGATCATCCGATCATATCTGATACCTCCTCTTTACCACAAGTCCCCATCGTTGACATGCAGACCTTGCTTTTTGGAGATTCAGTGGACTTAGAGCTTGAAAAGCTACATGCATGCAATGAATGGGGTTTCTTTCAGGCACTCATATATCTACCTATCCCCTACTCCAAAACCAATATATTTCCATGATAATATCCTTCAAATATATTTTTAATATCGACACATATCCGGTGTTATTTAATACGTATCCAATTTAGCTTCACATTTCATGCTAATTTTATATGATTTATTCATCATTTTCGATGTAAATTTACAAATTAAACAAAAAGATGGAAGTCATATTCAACACACAAGAGTTCTGCCAAAAGAAGGGTTGAGAGAGGTATGTGGTAAAAATTTTACTCTCATTCTGAATGGCATGATTCATATTTGAACCATCTTGGAGACATCTTAGAGGTAAATCCGTAAGCATTTGCATTTTCTTGGGTAGTCATTGCATGTAAAAACATGACTTATTGTTATGTTTATGCGCCACTGAATATAATAGAATAGTGAATCGCAGTTAAAATCTAAATTACATTTTCCTTTTTTTTTTTGGACATCAGGGGTTTAATTGATAATTTGAGTATCTTTTACGTTTCAAGGTTCTATTAACCAAAATATAAAAAATACAGATGGTGGTGTTAGGTAAGGTTTAGTACGACTTCTTCCACATGTTCCCATGGAATTGCGAAAAAGTTTCAGCTGTCCAAAGTCTCCCATGAGAAAGGAGAAGAAAGCAAGAACAAGTCGCCATCCGTCTCTATCTCTCTCTCTCTCTCTCTCTCTCTCACACACACACACACACTCATTATCAAATTGTCCGAAACAAAAGAAATCACTTTCCCCCATTATCTAGGAAAACCAATTGTCATTGTTATACTAGCAGTAGGGGAGGACTAGAGATACAAAAGCCTCAACAACTTCATAATTATTATTATTTTTTTTTGTTTCAACTGTTAGGATATTTGAGTTAGCTTATGTGTATCTTAACTAATATTTTTTGTTTTCTAGTCTGGTCAATGGCAGGTCATCTAAGTCGTGACTAGTTTTTTTTTTCTTTTTTTTCATGTCATTGTTCCATATGTTTACAAATTAATTAAATTGGATCTCCCAATTCTAAAATGAGAGCACATCTTAGGTAGAAAAACCTTCTATTTTGATGCTTAAAATGGACAAAAAGACTCTCTAAATTGAAAAAATTAAGAATAAGGGTAGTTCCAAATAAGGAGCATAGTTTAATGCTCACTTATGATACTTATTAGGTAAGTACACATCTCACATCCCACGAGACAAAGAAAAACGTTGCTAATATATAAACAACGATTTAGACTAAAATAACTAGACTTCCCTCCAAACCCAAAAGGATTAGGCCCAACACTAAAATACCAAAGGATTGTTGAGCGAATCAGGCACGTCTCTCATGTCCAGAGAGGTTAGGACACAACTAAAACTACATAAAAAATAAATTGGCTGTTCGTTTATAAACATTTTTTTTTTTTGCAGATTGTGACAAATGGAGTTTATCATAGTATTGAACATCGAGTAACAGTTAATTCAGAAAAGGAGAGGATTTCCATCGCCACTTTCCTTAACCCGAAATTTGATGGAGATCTGAGGCCAACACCAAGCCTTAACATGGATCAAAAGCCAGCGTTATTCAAAAGGATGAGTGTTGTTGAGTGCTATAGGGGATTATTTTCCTGCGGGATCTCCGGAAAATCATATCTAGATGTCATGAGACCTATTTCAATTAAGAAACTGGAGTTCTTTTTGGGTTATGAATGAAACATTTATTTTCTTGCTTTGGTTTCGTTTGTCAGACCTCTTTCCGATCTTTGATGGTTATAGTGTTTTTTTTTTGTCACTGCACTTCATCCGTAAAGGCAACTGAACTATGTAAAACAAAATTGTGCTTACAATAAGCGATCCTCTACAATTAAGCTGCCGAGATACTTGAACTTATCTATTTTTCTTGGCTGAAAAATAATTTTATTAATCCAAAAAATATATCTACAATAACGTTCAAAACATAACCAAACGGACACACGGAACGTTAGTCAAAAAAGTATGTTCCACTCACACACCAAGTCCATATTTTAAGGCAATCTCTCGCAACCAAAAGACTAGGTACATTCCTTCAAAAAAAGAGACTAGGTTCATAAGTGATGAGATGGACCCCTCTAAGCATAATCACAACATAGCATAGGCTTAAACAAACACAACCTTCAAAAAATTTTGACCCAGTTCAATGTCCCAGATAGAAGACTAATTTGTAAAATAAATTGATTTGATTTGATTCTGCGCAACAAGAGATAATTTATGTTTATCGTCTCTCTCTTCCACGTCTTTACTAGACATGTTACATATCAACTAACATTGATATCCAAGACTAACATTGATATCCAAGCCACTTGACAAAGACAGGCAAAGAACTTTGGTTCAGATGAGCTTAACCTTCCCTGTGTTAACAGCATAAGGTTGTGACCACCGAGTGGGGGGTCGAGTGAGTGTTGACCGAATTTCTCACTCATAAGTTGGAAGTTTGAGTGTTGAAGTTAACATTGGAGTTCGGTGGTTGACGCTATATTAAATTAATTAGGTTTGTTCCTGAGAGGAATAACGGACGCAGTCAGAGGCCTCGTGATCCTACTAGTAAGGCCTATCGAGATAGACTCTGGGTGCTCTCCTTACCCCCACACCTTTTTAATTAGCAAAAAAAAAAAAAAAAAGAGGTTATGGGATTGACACAAAAGATTTTGATATTATCTTAAAAAATAATTTATAGTTGTTGATATTTGATGAAATTTTTTGTAGTCGTTGATCTCGTTTAGTGTAAAATAATAAAACTTGACATATGTCACATTTTATTGTCAGAAAAGAAGAGGCAATTGTTAACATCCTATTTCTTCAATTACACATCATTGATGACGATTTGATTAGCTGAGTGGCTAATTAAATACTAATGAGCTTGTCTTAATCAGAAACGTGTTTTAATTACAATAAAATAGACCGATAATGTTATATTGGTCAATGCATAGCAAAAGCAAGTTGGCCTGTCTTAATCAAAAACGTGCTTTAATTCCCCATATAATAGACTGATAATGCTCTCTAAGTAAAAAAAACCAAACATATGGTCTGAATAATGTCAGTAAATATTTAATATAACAACGATATCCCATCGTCATTGATGAATGATATCATCAATCAATCATATACATAAAAAACCGAGGATGATTGGATCCGAATAATTTTACGTGGTAGTGATTAAATGTGGAAGTTATTGATAGTTTTCGAATTTGTTAAATCCACATGTCTTACATGTTTATCTGTAATTGATCGATAATATCACATATTAATAATAACGTAAAAAAAAATAATAATGGTAATTACGTAGAAGCACCGATACATTGAATCTCTCCTGAATCATCTGATATTATCAAAATCTTAAAATAAGCAATTTTTGTGGTCCTTGAAACTTGAAAAATGCAATCTAATTCTAGACGTAATTGTTTAAAATTGTATTCATTAGGTAATCTGAACATGTGTTCATTGAACAATTAGCAGAATTTTTACATAGTTTATTGGGAGTTTGTCATCTTTAGTATCAAATTGTTTAATTTTCTCAATAAAAAATCACTCATCATATATTTGCTGATAGAAACCCGACCGAAGGTGGGGTCCATTTATATTCAAGTAGGTAGTATTTCAGGAATTTGGTGAAGTCTTATATTGGGTTAGATTCGGATCAGACATTGTGAAGCGTACTTTTGATCCCTATTCAAGATTTTCATATATTTCGAAAAATTGCATTGACACCACTAAAATTTTAGATAATAATAATTGATATGCGTATAACTTTTCAGCTTACGCATATAAAAAAAAAACCTGTAATAATTCCAAAAAAATAAAACAGCCTTCTCCTACTATTTTACTCTCAAACAATTTGTTACTCTCTTCCTCTATGTGCCTCCAAGGTCTGGCCTTATATCTCATACTTATAAGTATATGCATGGTTAAATGTGTGTCTAAGTGGTATGATATGCAATGAGAGAAGAAGAACATGACGAATAAGAAAGAAAGAAAGTGAGTATTCGATTGCATGGTTATCGTTGTCCAAATAAGGAATGGCGGATTTTTCAATACTATAGTCGTTTGGATGTAGGGATAAAGAACATGGACAAGCTTGAAAGCACACACATGCCATTAGATTCATTTAGGGACAAAATCTAACAAGGGGCGTTAGTATAATTTCAAAAACTATAAGAGCATCTCTAAAATCATTGAATTGACTTGATGTAACAATGTAAAGTTACATTTTTATACAGGGTCAGCCCAATACCTATGCAAATGAGGCGGTTGCTTAGAGCCACAACTCGCCTAGTGCACCACTCACTTATGACAACCTCAATTATGATATAATAAACTTTGATTCTGGGGTATCTTTCTTGGTATCGTTTATCTTTCTTGATATAATAACTCTCACTCTCTCCCCCATATGAGTTCCAATGCCTATATGACTTTTTTATTAAAGAAAGAGAAAATTTTATTGAAGAAGAATCACAGAACTACAAGAAGCAAAGAATTAATGAAATACACATATGCATGTGGCTTTAATCCTTCAAAATGCTTAAAAAATAACAGCACGAATACCAACAAACCAACCCCCTGCCCTCCTTTCCAGAGCCATCTTCTTCCCGGCTATATTTGGTTTATTCTATATCTCAGTTAGTTTTATGTTTTCTGCTTTTAGTTTTCCACCATAAAGATTCCTACTAAAACACATAAGTGTCTGTATGATAATCTTAAAACTAACACATAATTGAATTTATTAAATCTTAAAAAAGAACTTTGTTTTATTCCTAGGCCACAAATATTTTTGGGTCAGCCCTGTTGAAATGTGCGATGATTACTAGTAGAAAAAAATATTTAACCGTTAACTGAGATAACCGTAAACTCAAAATAATTAAAGAGACAATGTGAAATCCTCTAATTTTGAGACAGCGTAGTAGCTTGTTGCAAACTTTGGGCAACAAGTTGCCATTAATATGTATATGCCTCTGTGTGAGCGTGTGTGTATGTGTGTGTATATATATACATATATATATATATATATATAGAGAGAGAGAGAGAGAGAGAGAGAGAGAAGTCGAAAACCATTGAATTTGTATTTGTTAACATGATCTTATACTATAGAACCAAAGCCTTTTTTTTTTTTTTCTTGCTGACATGATCTTCTACTTCAAGCATCTTTTGCCGCAATATTTTCGGGAACATTAATTTTCCAATTGAAACATTTTTCCACCCTAAATATGTCCGATTTGACCATTTGCACCATACTAATCCTTTACCACTGGAAAACCCGTGCGGGTTTATAAATGCCCGTCTTAAGATAGTTGTGTAGGTGCAGTTCAACCGAGCAATGGCATCCTCTCAGCCACTGAATAAAAGAGTTTACTGAGCGTTCAGGAGCTTGCAAAAGAACCCATGCTTGCCATCCCACATCGCTACGTTCAACCATATCAGGAATCCACTGTTCTCTCTGATTCCTTTTCCTTGCCCATAGTTGACATGAAAAACTTGATCATGGGGAAGTCCAAGGAGTTAGAATTAGAAAAGTTAGACTCAATCTGCAAAACCCTGGGCATCTTTCAGGTTTTCCTCCTATCTCAAACTGTTTTAATTACTTATGTGAGAGAAAGTACCCATGAATTTAGTTTAATCAAGTGTGGAATCGGCTCTCAAGGATTGGTTCAATAGTTGAACGAGCTAAATCTTGCATGTACTGAATTCGATTCTCTTTGGCTGCATATATAAAACCCATATTTAATCAATGGATGGGATTTGTGAGTAAATGTATGGATTCGAGGATTTGTGTAGCCAAACTATTCTTATTATGTATATAGGTGGTGAACCATGGAGTTAACTCGTTGGTGGTGGAAAAGCTGAAATATGAGATTCAAGAATTTTACAAGCTACCTGTGGACGATAAATTGAAGTACAAGTTAAGACCAGGTGATGTTGAAGGGTATGGCCAAACCCCACTGCATTCTGAAGATCATAAAGCTGATTGGGGAGATAGGTTTTACATGATAACCAATCCCCTCCACAGAAGGAAACCATATCTTTTGCCGGAGCTCCCTCCCTCACTTAGGTTCTCTCTCTCTCTCTCTCCCTCACACACACACACACACAAATATTTGCACATGTATCATGTATGTCTGTATATGCATCCATAAAGACATAAGGGTGCAGATAAAATGAACCCGGCCAGTTCAGGCTTGTGTTCAAGATGATGCTCAGCTTGCCTGTATACAATTATGCATACGGTATTGTATAGGTAGTACATAAAACTTAGTACGTAGGTATAATATATAAGAATAAGAAATATATATGATATAACACATCTTATATATGTTTGTATATAGGTGTATATATTCAAAATCCTACCTAGCAGAATAAGCCATTGCTCGTGGTTGGCTTGTCTATTAAAGGAGCTTCAAATTTAAATTTGAGTTGGTTTATTCAATAAAGAAACGATTATAAATAAGTTTTTATCGAACTGTTCTCCAGTTGTTTATGAATAGCTCGGTTCTTTTATGTTTGAGTTCATGTATGTATGGGTAGTATCATCTGGATCTCTTCTTCACTGCAGGGATACCATGGAGTCTTACTTGTCAGAGCTTCAAAACCTAGCCATGACTCTCTTTGGGTTGATAGCAGAAGCACTAAAGATTGATACGAGAGAGATAGAAGAGATGTTTGTGGATGGGATGCAATCAGTGAGG